AGCTTCGTAACGTGATGCGTACGCGGCACTCATGTTGAAATACGCCCTTTTGTGACGAAAGTCAAACGATAACTAAGGCTTTCTAGACAAAGCATCTTGGGAGAAGAGCCCCGCTATTGGCTCGCGTTCATATCCCCCCTCTAACGGTTTCGAGGAAAAAGTTTTGCCGTACACACTCTTATCAGACATACTATTTGCTTAAAAATGTTATGCATTTTTTATTTTTTATTACAAAATTATTGTAGTTGAATGTTCTTATATCATCGTATATCAGATCGTATATCGTATATCAGATCAAATATGTACTATTTCTATACTTTAGTATGTGTCCAGCTTGACAAAAGGCATTGTAAAAGAAAATATAATTTTAACATAATTTTTACTACGTTATTTTCTTCGTATATACTAATTATAGAAATACACTAATACAGATAAGTAAATAATAATTATGATACATTTTATATTATAGGAAATTATAAGTTTGGAAAAATTGTGAAAATTATTGTAACACAATATATGAAATGTCTGTATTTTGCAAATTATTTTCTTTTAGCTTGTTCAAAAGTTATTATTGATACGTTTAATGAAGAACGGAAAGAGTTTTATAATATTTGAATCGTAAGGAGTCAAAATGACCCTTTCAGCCATTCAAGGTGTATTTTCGGATATTCTAATGTTAACACATAGAAGGAGGAGGGCATACTAGATGGCGGCCATGCGTTCGAGATCTGCGTATCTTTTCGTTCCAGAGGGAGAAAAATATCGAGAGCGCGGTTCTGCTAGGCCGGGACTCGAACCCGGGTCTTTCGCTTGCCGGGCAACTGCTCTAAACTACTAAGCTACCTGACGCTCCACGCTTATGACACTCTCCTCTCCCCAGATAACGCTCAGAGATGTCGTTCGGAAGCGACATTTCTGGCGCGATTCCGAGCGCATGGCGACTACAGAGAGAAACAATGTTACTGTACCAAATGGTACAGCTGTCAGTCTCTCAAAGTCAAAGGTTGCTATCCTTTAAGACCTATTGTCCATGTATGCCCGTCTCCATCGTTGCCCCTCCTCATCCGGTGCAAATAATATAAATAAGTCCCGGGGTCGACACCAATTTTTTGGCAGCCCCCGGGTGCTTGGACGCAATGCGCCAATTCACCATAGAAGGAGGAAGGCATATTAGGTGGCGGCGAGACGCCATGCTAATGTTCATATGCTGAAGCGCTTTTCACGTATTAGCCAGAAGTGCTAGCTTCCTCACGCATGTGCCAAAAGTGATTTGTCAAATTTTATTAAAGAGAAATTGATGTCGAAGATGTTTCTCGTTCTTATCGGCCAGTTACGACGGATGTCGACCAAATTACGGCTTTAGCCGATTTCGATCAGTAAATCACAATTCGGAAGATTGCAATGAAGTTAAAAATTGGCAAATTAACTGTTTCGGAACATTTTTAAACAAACTTAGAATAGTAAAGAAGCTCGATATTTGAATGCAATTTGATTGAAAAAAAATCTCATAGATTGCATTTCTATCTGCGATTTGCTATGTAAATATAACGAAACAACAGTTTTCGTCTATAAAAATGACCATTTTTGTCGTTTTTAGGGTTTTTTAAACGAATTGTAACGAGCGATCGTTTTTATGGTTTTTTAAACAAATTGTAACAAGCGACGAAAAATAGATTGTTTACAACAATGTCAAATAGAAAAAGTAGTGAGGTAAGCAAAATGAATCGCTATTAATCGCTTCGAAACCTAGTTTGTATTCGATGAAAGTTATGCTCTGTATCTGGTAAGATTGGAAAGGAATCATGTACTATAAGCAGGGTTGGGAACGTTACTTTTTAAAAGTAACGCGTTACCGTTACTTGCGGTAAAAAGTAACTCGTTACCGTTACTCGTTACTGATTCTAAAAAATAACGCGTTACTGTTATTTGAAAAGTAACGATAAAAAAATCGTTACTTTCCGTTACTTTTGTAAAAAAAAAAGTTAAAATCGGCATATAAAACGAATAGTAGAAGAGACAGTACATAAATTATACATATATAAAGACAAAATATAAGATATTTAAGCGAGAAGCACACATTATTGCATAACGACATAAAGTCCATTCTACATTAGTCGCAAGGTCGCAAAGAAATTGACTAATCATAGTCGATTGTTCTTCTTGCGATCGAAGAATAATCAATTATGATTGGTACAATTTCTTTGCGATCTTGCGATTGCGACTAATGTAGAATGAGCTTTAGGGGCGCCGCACACGAATTGACATAACAGTAACGTAAGACGTACCGTAAAAATGGACCAATTACAATCGAGTATCCACAAAAATGGCGACCTTACAGTTCGACGATACTCAAAGTGATTGGTCAGTTCTTACGATACGTCTTACGTTATTATTATGTCAATTTGTGTGCGACGCCCCTTAAGTGTGGTCTACAATGAGAACTTAAGCCATCAAATTTAAGCTTTAAATCCTAAGCCGTAAGAAGTTGACCAATCATAGTCAATTATAAGAAAAATAATTTCTTACGGCTTAGAGATTAAAGCTTAAATTTTATGGCTTAAGTTCTCATTGTAGATCACGCTTTAGATGCTTTCTACAATAAGCAATAAATTTTAAGTCGCAATAAAATTGACCAATTACAGTGGATTATTCTTCTAATAGTCGACTATGATTGGTCAATTTTATTATGACTTAAGATTTATTGCTTGTAGAATGGGCTTTACGGAAAGCAGCACATTAATTGTTTATCATGTGCAAACTTTCATCACGTGGCAAGCGTTGCCGCGTTCTATGTACAGAAGCCATCATAGTAAAAAGTAACGATATAAGTAACGATGAATTTCGTTACTCGTTACTAAAGAAAATGTAACGCCGTTACTTTTTTGTTACTGATACAAAAAAGTAACAGCGTTACCAAATCGTTACCGAAAAAAAGTAACGAAATAGTAACGTCGTTACAAGTAACGCGTTACTTCCTAACCCTGACTATAAGTTACTGCCGAACAATCAATTCATCAATTCGGACAAGTGCTACTCGCCACTGGGTCAATTAAAGGCAGAAATAAGCAAGAAACGCCCCAAATTAATCAATCAAAATGACGTTGTATTACATCATGGCAACATCAAGCCTTATATTTTTTTGCAAAACTGGCAAAAATTGCTGGAATTTGGCTGGGATGTTTTGCTTCACTCATCTTATTTTTACTTGATATAGCATTCTCGAATTAATACTTATTTTGGTGGCTGTAGAACTTCTTCAATGGTATGAGCTTTTGCTTCTTTGAAACGGCTTAAAAAATATTTTTGAACTGCTTCTTCTCTAAAAAATCGAAGAAACCCAGGAAATAAGAGAAGAATTATGAAATTAACTGAGAGAGATGTAAAAATATTGTGAAACAAAATAGTGTATATATTACAGATTAAAATTATTTTTAACTAAAAAAATTTATCATTTGAAGTCTGCTTGAAAATTCGTACGAATTTTTAAAGTTAAGTTAAAAATTTTATGTGATTGTTTGCAAAATAATACAGGAATGTTTTGTTCAAATTGACAATCTACACGAAAAATGAGTACATGTTATTGTCAGATACCTTATTTATTCGGTTTAAGATAACCACACTAATTGTTGAAACGTTCCGACTTAATTTGTTTGTATATTTGTTAATATATCTATGCTCATTAAATCAGAAATTAACTCTTATTATGTTTATTAATTTCCATATTTTTTAAATTTTAACTAAACCTTAAGCGTTTAATTTTGGCATATATCATTCGGCACATAGTATAGAAGACTATGTTAAAAAATATTTATTAAGAAACATTTAGAGTACTCTAAAAATTTATAGCGAAATTAAATAAATCAAATAAAAAATTAAATCAATTGAAAATCAAGTCAGTGTATTTAAAAGCTCTTATATATTCTAATATGACGGATACACCAAGTTTTACAGTCTCAATGTTTGGTTTTTCTTTAACATTTTATCTATGTTTCTCTAATAACGAAAATTAATTAATTACATTGTCCGACAAATCTTGATCCATTTTTCCCGAGAATGAATAATCATTTCTGATATTTTTAACCATTAAACACGAATTCGTTATACAAGTTTGATTATCATATCACAATTTTGACAAAAATTGGGGTAAAATATGTAAAAAACAATTGAAGATTTTAAAGAATTTAATAACATTGTAACATTAGCAGATATTTTTTTCTTAATTTTATTAATATCTTAAGAAAATATGAACTTTATGTTTTAAAATATATTTTGTTTTGTTTTTGTGTGATTTCTTTTTGGGAGATATATAGCTATTTAAAGTGAGTTTTTCCTTTTATACACACGCACATACGCACATGCACATTCGACTGAAAGTCATATATATGGAGTCCAAAAGCCTACACTTTTGACAGAAATTATTATTCGTATGGTAAAATGATGTCGCGTACTGTATTAAAATACAATATTTTATATAAAAATATTTTTGCAGAACTTAATTATTAAATTAAATTCTTAATAAAATAAAATTCTTAAATTATTTCTTACTTGAAGAAAAAGCAACGGCCTAAGTATTTGGCAATTTTAATTAATTCCGTTTTATTTTCGATAATTTGTTGATACTCTGAAGATCTATAATAGATATTTATATGTCTTTTTATATTATTTAGTTATGTCCATTTTTTTATTATTATCATGGAGTATCATGGAGTAAAAAGATTGCGTTTGATTACTTATAAACGTATTAGGTAAGAATGTGGAAAAGGATGTTAGTATAATATTGGGTGCGGGAAAAAGTTCGTGGCGTTTGGCACTAGATGGCATTACATGCTCAGCACTCGGTAACTACTAATCGCATCGACAACATTAGACACGCGTGACATTTCAACTTTTGTTTTGAGCCAAAAAAGATTGAAATCGGTGAAATGGATCAAAAGTTATTTTATTTTAAAAATGGAGATAAATAAGGAAAAAATTCGCTACATTTTGTAGTATCACTACGATAAAGGCAAGAACGTTGCACAGACTTGTGAAAAAATTTGTGCTGTTTACGGTGAAGATACTCTATCAAAATCAGCAGTACGGAAATGGTTCGCTCGCTTTCGTACTGGAAATTTTGATGTCAAAGATGAACCTCGCTCCAGTCGATCAATCACCGAAAAGTCTGATGAAATCATGGAAAAAGTTGAGCGTGATAAGCATATGAACAGTATGGAGATTGCCAGGGAACTAGACATCAACTACAAAACAGTTTTGAATCATTTATACAAAGCTGGATACAAAAAGAAGCTCGATGTTTGGGTTCCTCATGAGTTGAGTATTAAGAACATGATAGACCGAATTAACATTTGCGATACGCTACTGAAACGGAATGAAATTGAGCCATTTCTGAAGAGAATGATAACTGGTGAAAAATGGATCACGTACGACAATCGAACTCGAAAAAGTTCGTGGACAAAGGAAGGTGCAAGCAATCGCAAAACCTGAATTGACGATGAAGAAGGTGATGTTGTGTGTGTGATGGGATTGGAAGGGAATCGTTCACTATGAGCTGTTATCACCCGGTCAAATAATTAATTCCGAACTCTACTGTGAACAACTGGAGAGATTACAAGCAATTGAGAGGAAGCGGCCAGAATTGATCAATAGGAGAGGTATCGTCTTCCATCACGACAACGCTCGACTACACACATCTTTGATGACTCGGCAAAAATGGCGAGAGCTTGGTTGGGAAGTTTTGATACATCCATACATATAGTCCTGACATAGCACTCTCAGACTATCAGTTGTTTAAGTCTCTACAGAACTCTCTTAATGGTGTAAAGCTGGCTTCAAAAGAGGCATGTGAAAATCATTTGAAGCAGTTTTTCGATCAGAAACCACAGAAGTTCTATCACGATGGGATTATAACACTGCTCCAAAAATTGCAAAATATTATCGAAAATAATGGAGCATATTTGGTTTGAATAAATTGATTTTAATACTCTAAGAAAAACACTTGAATTTTACTAAAAAAACGCCACGAACTTTTTCCCACACCCAATAATTATCTTATTCATTACGCGATGGAGAAGCATTTTAAGTTCTGTTTTTTTTATTTATAACTTTGGATATGACTTTAAACGAATTGTAGCTATTGAATATAATGAAATGTACCGTACTTTTACATATTTTTAAATGAATACTCTTCTTAGAAATATAAATAATTTCCAAATTTTAAAAAGAAGCTTTTACAAAAAAATTTCACGAATTATAGTACTTGCCTCCCGGACATTACATATTATGACGTTCTAAGGACTATTTAAAAGACGGAATTTTAAGATGTCTTATGTCCCGACTTAGATGTCTTTAAGATATTATTTTAAGATATCTTAAAGACATGCTGTTTATAAAATTACTTTAAAATCCTTAAATGTATATTTAGTTGCGAATTTCTAGAATTTTGCATAGAACATTAAAAAGGAAAGAATATTTTATTGAATATTGTTTGTAATAGGTTGAAAATTATATTAATTCAAACTAGACTGTGGATTTGCTCGTTCGTCTGCTTCATCGTTCGTCTGCTTTAAATTTTAAAGTTTATACTAGATACCATCATTATCAGCTGTCATCGACTCCTAATTCTAACCTTGAGTAAATGGAAAAGACGGATGAGCAAATCTATAATGTAATCATAATTCTAAAGGAAACTATATATATATGAAAGAAAAAAAATTTTCATTCGGCACAATAATTCAACTGAAAACTAGAGCAAATTATAGAAATTCGCGATTTAATAAGTTCTGTAAGATTTTTTTTCGTGCTGACATATTTCCCGTGCATAATATTTACAGACTAAATTGTTTTCAAAATATTTATTGTAACATAAATGTCGAGTGCATAAATGTCATTGTAGATAATGTAGACAGTTACATAATATCTTTTAAATGTCTTACAATAGGTGAATTTATAAGATGTCTCGTAAAGTTTTTACGATGTCTATAAGATATGTTTTCGTACTGTCTTAAAGATATTTTTTAAACACGCATGTTGTGGGAGTTTTTAATCTAAAACATTTCTTTCTTATATATTTTTTGTTATAAATAAAAACGGAGATTAAAATATTAAAATATAATATATTCTTTATACATAACGTATTGTTTATACAATAAGAACTGTGATTTAAGATCTTATAGGACCTTTCTCCCTATCAATAATAATTTACAAAATTTTTATAGTTAACATGAAAATAATGTATTATTTTACAATTATTTGGTCATCTTGTAAGTTATAATAAATACATTAAATTAGATAAAATACAATAAATCTTTAAAATATAATGACTGAAATATTTTAAATGCTTTTGCAGAATATAATCCGGATGCACCTAGTATGGAGCCACGTATACAATGGGGTAGACATCCACAATCTGCACCTGGAATTTATGGTAGAGGACAAAGAGAATTAATCAGTGTGCCAGTTATTCCGCATACAAATTCTTCGGAAATAACTCATACTCAAAGCAATCCTTTAAAACGCAAACAAGCGTTTGATTTTAATCGCTTGGGACCGAAACAGAGAGTAGTGCATAACCCGGCCAATTGTTCTCTTGAGTTGAAGAAAGTTCCACGAAGTTTAAATAATATAACTCAATTGAATAATCACTTTTCCAAATTTGGTAAAATTGTAAATATCCAAGTTAATTTTGGTGGCGATCCTGAAGCGGCATTGGTTACCTTTCAACTGCCAACAGAAGCAAAAGCTGCTTACAGAAGCACAGAAGCTGTATTGAATAATAGATTTATTAAAGTATTTTGGCATAACAATGTCAATAATAACGCAGCCAGTGGAGCTATCGAGAATGTACCACCAGGTAAGACTCAATTATATTTTGTACTATTTTTTTTTTATTATAAGATAAGCTATGTGCATGCGCGCGCGTGTGTGTGTGCATAGGTGTATGTGTAATTGTACTAGTCAGTAAGCAGATAATATGCCGAAATATATTTATGAATTGTTATCCGTTAGAAAAAGAAGTAACTCTTTACTGTTACCAATGTTTATAAAAATAACTCATTACTATTATTGTTTCTTAAAACTAACGTATTGTTACAATTTCCATTACTTTTGTTAATACGTTTTGAAAACTTTTTTTTTATACAACTTACGATATATTTTATATATTTTGCGGCTAACTCAAATAATATTATGACATCTTAAAGATATTAAATAACATCTTAAAATTCTAAGGACACCTTCTAAAATTTTTAGAAAGACAACTTTCTTGAAGTATTTTATTTCGACGTTTCGAATATTCTAGTTCACTTCTGTAGTAAAGAAGTTTGAGATTGTTCCTTTACTGAAGAAGTTTTCTGAAAAAGTAAACGGAATATGCAAGAAACATTGAAAACAAATCCATGAGAATCAAGATATCAATTTGGAAATAAGACGAATTTAAAATCATTTTCTTATTCCCTCTGAATTTTTAAACTTAGTTTTTGACGATTTTTTTTTGTTTTTGGAATATTTGAAATATACAATTGATTATCCTATATAATGGATTATCCTATATATGCAACATTTATAATCGCAATTTAACTAAATGCACAATTTAAAGATGTCTTAAAATTGTGCATTAACAGTCGTTACTTGAAATTTACTTCAAGTAAGATACTAAAATCTGAATTTAGAGTTAAATATGTTTTTAGTTGAATTGCGATTATAAATATCGCATATATAGTATAATTTATTTCAATTGTATACTTCAAATATTCTAAAAACAAAAAAAAAAATCGTCAAAAACGAAGTTTGAAAATTTAGAGGGGATAAAAAAATGATTTTGAATTTGTCTTCTTTCCAAATTGATATCTTGCCTCTCATGGATTTGTTTTTAATGTTTCTTGCACATTCCGTTTACTTTTTCAGGAAACTTCGTCAGAGAGGAACAATCTCAAACTTCTTTACTGAAGAACTGCACTAGAATATTCGAAACGTCGAAATAAAATCCTTCAAGGATGCGGCACCAACCTAAGCCAGACTAACCATTTCACTACACCGTGAAATATATAAAATATTAGGTAACTTGAAATATAACTTTGAATTTTTCAAAAATTTTTCATGATTATTTCAAAGTCAATTTTATTTTATAAATAAGAATGAATAATTTTTATTAATTCATTTGATGGAGCATGAAATCTTACGTAAAAATTGTCTAACAAGGAACATTCGCGAAGTGTGTGTCTCCGATTTCGATAAAACTTGGCATATTTATAGAATAGCCAAAAATAAGAGACCCATATTTCTTTTTATCGGCAATGGCTCAGGTTTAAGAGGTGAAACTGCCCCTCAAAGTTTAATGCCTTTTTTTGCTATCTCTGTAACTATTGGAGATAGAAAAAAACTTTAGTCCATTTTATTTTTTATAAGAAACCGCATAATTTTTATCTAAAAAATTTTTTTCTATATATATATATATACAATAGTTACAGAGATAGTAAAAAGGACATTAAACTTTGAAGGTAGTTTCACCCCTTAAACCCGCGCCATTGCCGATAAAAAAAATATGGGTCTCTTATTTTTGGCCCCTCTATAAATATGCCAAGTTTCATCGAAATCGAAGACACACACTTCGCAAATGTTCCTTGTAAGATGTGTTTAGTCTAAAGTTTATAATTTACAAAATATAATAATTATAATAATATATTAATAATTATTATTGTTTATTAAACAATAATAATAATAAAATAATAATAATAATAAAAATTGTGGACTTTCAAAATTGTAAAGTTGAAAACTTTCAAGGTTATTTGAAGGTCAACTGGATTGTTTTTAATTTTTAGATTACGGGCTGCTTGTCAAGTAATCACTGTATGCGACGCGGAGTTAGCGTTAATCGTCACAATGCTTCACTCCCACACGCAATTGGTGTTTAGCATTGGATGGCGACTGCATACAGTGAGAGAATCAAATATTTTCAGGCGTTCACGCACAATGAAAATTTTTGTTAAGGCACATATGTGTACTGTTCGAAATTTAAGGATTAAAGGAAAATTCATTTATTTCTGGATTCAAATGAGTGTCAAATTCTATATAATAGTATGATCTAAAGCATATGCAACAAAATCTTAAAACTTAATTTTGAGATATTTACGTATGATAATTATTAATTACATTTTTACGGTTTATTTAATTTTAAGAAACTATGAAAGCTTTTGTAAGAACTTATTCTTAGTATTACCTAAGATTAACAACGTAGTCGGACGTAGAGAGAACTATTGATTACTTTCATCATCACTGATCATTGATTGAATATTAATATTTCTGATGGATTAGACGAAATAAATAAGTAAAATTATTTGTCTAACAATGGGAACCAGGTGACTGCTCCGGGGATTTTAATGCGCTTTTTACGGGCTGTTCTTGGGCGAAAAAAACGACACAGCTGTTTGAGCCAATGGGCCATAGTTTCGAAGAAATCGATTTTTGAAGAATGACTCTGGTCGGCCGCAGCACACATGATGCGTCCGACCGTCACTATTGAACAGCAGCGGTAGCGCAGTAGATAAGACGTTGGCTTCGTACACAGTAGGTTGCGTGTTCAGATCTCGTCTCGTGCATTTTTTTTATTAAAAATTCGTTTTTATCTGTAAATATTTGTTATTGTAGATTTACACGATTTACAGAAAAAGATTATTTATTTAATTATATTGATATATTTTTTTGTAAATGAAGTTACAAAATTTTTAAATAATTCTAATAATTTGAAAAATCTATATAAAGAAATATTATTATTTTTATAAATTTTTTTCTAATTTAATGTTATTAATTTTTATTACTTTTTGATTGTAATGAAATTTTATAAAATTACAAATTAGTAGATATTTATTGTCTTATTTTTCTTTTTTCCTTATCAATTACACAATGATAAACAAAAGTTGTGAAGCTTGTGCCGACATATCACTCTTTAATGATTCTGTATTATTTGAGAAAATTATTAAAAAATTATTCGGTTTCATTACATTTTTATTTATATGTCCATGTGAATAACAACAACGACGGTAATAAAAATTATATATATATATATATATATATATATATATATATATATATGTATATATATATACACATACATACATACATACATACATACAGGGTATTTTACACTCTCCTCTGGGCATTTTGTGGGGACGTAGAACAGGTTGAGGTGAACATAAAAGTCCTATACTGTTTTGCGATATTCGCAATAATTATCGAGATATTAATTGTAGAAAACTTGTAAATGATCATGAAGAATATTGTAAATGAGTTATAGTAGCGACGACTGCCGTCGTGTACTTATACTTTAGGTCAAATTGAACAAAAAAATCCTCTACCATTTTCCAATTAATCACATAGATTTTTAATTATTAATTAAAGAAGATTATTGCACGATTTTGCGTGATAATGCACTCATCTTCTTTAATTAATAATTAAAAATCTATGCAATTATTTGGAAAATGGTAGAGGACTTTTTTGTTCAATTTAACCTAAATATAAGTACACGACGGCAGTCGTCGCTATTATAACTCATTTACCATATCCTGCATGATCATTCACAAATTTTCTACAATTAATATATCGATAATTATTGCGAATATCGCAAAACGGTATAGGACTTTCATGTTCACCTCAACCTGTTCTACGTCTCCACAAAATACCCGGAGGAGTGTGTAAGACACCCTGTATGTATGTATATATATATATATATATATATATATATATATATATATATATAT